TGGTAGTTTCTTTTCCATGTCTGCTATCAACACTGTCATCTGCATATCTTATGTTATTAATATGGTGGCTGCTAATAATAAATCCTGGTAGGACTTCTAATTCTCTCAGAATCGCCTCACTGTATAGGTTGAATATGTGTGGTAAGAAGTCACATCCTTGTCTTACATCCCTTTCTGTTTTTGTATATTTACTTAATTCATTTTCTATCGGTACGCAACTGATTGCTGTCAGTATAGATTCTAGACTATTCTAATATTCTCTCAAAATGTGTCAAGGGTAATGAAACCATTTTCTCTTGCACGAAAAAGTTATGTATTTTATTTAAATCTTAGATCACTCAGTGATATTGTCACCTAATAGGCTCTATAGAAAACCTCATAACGATAGTCAAGAAGAAATTCAAATGACATGTTTCGCTGTCATCCAAAGTTAGAGTATTAACCAAATTCATTATATAAAATCCGGAAACAATTATAAAGTGTTCGTACCGTATATACTCGCATAAAGTGCGAGTTCTATTATCAGATATTTTTATGCAAAAATAGGAGGTCGGTAATTCTTTTTTTGAAGGCGTTAAAAATTAGGCATGAACAAAAATAAAAGTACGGTATCTAAATCTTCGTATCAGAGATTTTAAGGTAAGTGGTTTTTCTCGCCATTTTGGCGTAGCTTTGTACAAAAAAGAATGAAGATCATTTATTTGCTATAAAATATGTTCATGATGATGCTCCAGTACAATAGGTACCTTCCACTTTTTTGCTGAAAAAAAAACAACAGCATAGCATGAAGAAAAAAGTTTTATCACCAAAATGTTTATGTTATTATTAAGAAACAAGACCAAAGTATTATTTTTATTATTTTTATTAAATGTTTTAATCCTTTCTAGCACGTTCGAAATTTGGGATAAAAATCTTATTTTAGCGGGTTTTGAGCGGACGGTTGGCCTCGTTTTCATTATTGTTCATTTAGCGCCATTTTTTCGGTAAAAACCCATTGATTTGGAAATTCTTGCAAAAATGAAATAATTATCTGATTTTAATGAAACTTCCAGGACTTATTAACAAATGAATTAAATCATGTTTTATTATGTTTTTTAGAAAATCTTGAAAATAAAATGTTTTTTACACTTACTTAATTTCATGAAATTTCGAGAAATTAAATCTTAATTGCAAAATTTGTTTTATAAAAGAAGGACTCCTTGGGGAGTGCAAATCATAATATTTTTTTTTAATTGCTACTCATTTCCGGAAAATCTGCTATAAATCCTAAAATAAAAAATGCAATAAAACTATGGCATTATTTAATTAGAAATGCTTTTAATTACTTTTAAAAATAAGATTTATTATGGACACTATTGTCATAAGAAAAAAATTTTGATGAATAATGAATTTTTACAAGAATTGTTTTCATTTTTTTTTAATTATAATAATTTATAATAATAATTTTTTTAAATTTAAAAATCTTTTAGAATTCTGTATCACTTAGGTGCATTAGGTGATATTGTTATTAAGTGAAAACTATATTTACTAATCAAAAACTGAAAAGCTTAATACAAAATATCACGCATCAAGATTTTTAAAATATTTAAAAAAATTTTTTATGTATATAAAATATTATGTAACGTACCCATTTTTGAAAGTATGGTTGACCATACACGACATTATTAGAAAATAAGAGTGATGGGTATATTAAATGTAAAGTCATCATTCCTAAAATTAGATTAGGGAGAATATTTTCCAACCTTTTTAAGATTACTGAGTACTTTAAATTTACATAAAGTAAGCTTATTAGTTAGTATATCGTGTACATTTGTTTATTTGTACGAGTATATACGGCACGTCATTTTCTTAAATTATGCCATCACATTTCAACACTCGTAAATCACGTAAAACATTGCTACAGTCTGTTAAAAACACAGCTATTGTTTGTTTTAAAAATGCATTTCTGTCTTATTTTAAACCTAAAGTAAATAATATTTGATTCAAATCAGATTAATTATACTTTAAATCAGCTAATGTTCCTCAAATAAAGTTTCAGAAAGTATATTTTATTTTTTGATTTTTTTTTTTTTTTTTTTTTTTGATACAGAGAATTACATTGCGATGAAGATCGACTAAAAAATGGCGCTAATCAGCTATTTTAGAAAAAAAATTGATTCCAATTAATATAATTTCTGTTTGAAATACACCAGGGTATTTTGCTTACTGGAAATAGTAAATTTAATCCATTAGCTTTCAATTAAAACTAAAATGAAGGTTTCAAGAAATCTTTTTCATTTTTAAAAATTATTTTAAAATTTAGGTATCGTGAACTAGTGGCGATCCATATAGTACATCAATATTTGATGATGGTAGGCCTACTAGTATTGCTCAGAAGCTGGGGTGGCATTATACACGAGCTATATAATAAATCAGGTTTTTCACAAAAAAAAATCAGGGATCTTATTATACATGAAGTAAGCTTATACACGAGTATATAGGCTATATGTTTATTTGTACGACTATATACGGTACTCGGTATTTATTAAGTTTAACTCATTCAATTAGAAATTCAAGATAGGGGGACACTTAATGAGACTTATAGGCGCGAACTTACCTGATGCTAAAAATTGATACAAGAAGATCTTAGCAAATTACCCAGTCAGCACCGAATTTAGCGATTTTTTACACACATTGGCATCTTTTCTTACAATCAAACAGTTTAAGAGAGTGCACATACTGATTGATTAGACTAGAAAATTAGCTTGTGTGACGATTTTTTTTTATCATCGCACTACAATAAGTACCCTAACTATTGTCACGTTGTAACCACCTAATTTCTAATTATTACTATCCGCTGTGGAGTTACCTCCACTTACTTTCCGGTAAAAACGGTCGCTAGAGGACGCTCCTCAAGCATATAAATAAGGAATAACATTCTCTGCCATTCTCTTTTTCTTATTTGACCCAGGAACGGTATGATGTAGGTCGCCACGCGGAGAAACACACATGCGCCAGCACCTTTCACTTTACTTTCCATTGCTATTCTCTAGGACACCTTCTACACAACTTCACACAAACAATTAACTGGTTTAAATGTTTTCTTCATTCATGTTCATTGTTTTGTCACACGCAACTATTTTCTATTTTCTATGTATAACATTGTTTTGTTAATATATACTTACCGTTCGTTTATATATATATATATATATATATATATTATAGGCGTTTTATTAACAGGACTCACATTCAGAGTTCGCCATTTTCGTTGCGGGATAAATAAACCAGGAGACACGTGTTTTCCGGCCTAAAACACTCGACTAACACCCCCGCAACACCATAATTAAAAGCTGTGTTAAATTTACAACTACTTTGGCAAAACCTGGAATTATGGGGAAAAGTCTTTTCCTTTCATGTGAAATTCTCATCTACTTTGTCTGATTTTAATTTGAAATAAGTAATTGCTTCAAGACGTGACGAATTATTATTTTTAAAAATCATAGTATTGTTACTTTCGCAAACAATAATTTGCAGACTCATGTGAGTATAGGTCATAAAAGGTAAAAGTAAATAGATGTATTAACAAAAGATATTTATATAAACGGAAGGAATGAAACTTCATCGTTGAAGTCATTGCAAGTTCAACAACTGAAGGGTCTAGCAGAAGTTTAAACATCTGTATTACAAGCTTATTTCATTGGCTCAAAATAGACGTGATGTTAGGACTATCTCCCAAACAATGAAAATCTCTCGCGGGAGAGTATAAAAAGGCGTAGCCATCTTATTTTTCCCCTCTTTTCTCTGACTTTACCTACGAGGGTCTTCTTTTTTTATCGGGTTGTCATCGGTAATAAACGTCAACGACTCTCGGTACAACATTCATCGACAGAACACATTTCATCGCCCTGAAAAAGATTTTGACTATTGTACGTTTCTTTTTCCTTTTTTGTTTTTGTTTTTGGTGGGTTTTTTTATTTTTTCTTTACGAATTTTTTTTCTGTTTCATATACCAAAAAATGGTTTTGGTTTTACTCATAGGTCATGTAGGAACATTATCTTCAATTTGGGAGGAATTACTTTGTATCGGATAGAAAACACACAAACACTAGTTCACACCACATCAATAGAATAAAAAAAAATGCCTTATTCTATGAGCACATTTGAATCCTAGCAACAAGTATATGAACGAGATATTCGGAGGCCCTAAACAGACAGTCGAATACAATACAGAAGGCGGTATTCTACAAGTGCGCCCTGAAATAAAAAAAAATGTTTGATAAACTCTGGCCGACACAGTTAAATTTCTTATTTAGAGAACGCTTTCATATTCGCATGTTTTATTCGCCACATTGCGTCACTCTTTAAGAGCACTATTATAATATCCGCCACAATATATCTATCATACGAGAACACTACTTTATGAATTAACACCCCACTGACATGAAACGGAGCGACGATATCAAATCAATTGCTACGTCTACTGCGAGGAAAGTTGGGTCACTATATCGTGCCAGAAAATCTTT